TTATTATTATTATTATTATTATTATTATTAGCTTTTCCAAGACCAGCATGCTCTGCTGGTTTGCTTTTTCCCCTTGTGTCCTCCCAAAATGTGCTCGAATTTCTCTACGTCTATTGCAGAGATACCACCAATAAGTCTTCATGTTTCTAAGAGGAACAAAACCTGGTCGAAGATGCCAGATTTCTTACTATCCATCAAAGGCAGTATTATTATTATTATTATTATTATTAGCTTTTCCAAGACCAGCATGCTCTGCTGGTTTGCTTTTTCCCCTTGTGTCCTCCCAAAATGTGCTCGAATTTCTCTACGTCTATTGCAGAGATACCACCAATAAGTCTTCATGTTTCTAAGAGGAACAAAACCTGGTCGAAGATGCCAGATTTCTTACTATCCATCAAAGGCAGGAAGAGCATGAAATGGGAGAATTCCTGAGTTCCAGACACCATGTGCACAAACAGAGAGAGGACAATGTTACACATGGACAGGAAGTCCATACTTACCTGCCGGGGTCAGTGGCTCTCCAGGGAGCAGATCTCTTTAGACTATTAGAAAAGGAAGAGCAGTCACTCACGCGTGACCCAAATGGAGGAGGGCCACCTTGTTTGAACAATTCAGAACCGTGTAGAAGAGCCAGGAGTCAATGTGATGAAGGGCAAGGACACTTTGATTAGCAGGGACAATCACTTCCGATACTATTTCCCTGCTTCCTGATTTCTTTTCAGCTGAGACTCAAATCTTCACAGCAGTGTGTGAGGTGAGGAAGCAAGGGATTTTCCCATAAAAAGTGTTTAGCTGGGAGTTATACACTTTTATTGTAAGGCAAAATATTTGGGGAGTGTTTTTGCGTTTTGGATGGGTAATCAAGATCCATTAGCATTGTAAAAAACTTGCTTCAGGGTGAGACATGGGCAAAACTTCCATATAGAGCTGAGATGGTTGAGGAAGGGAGAGAAAGAGAGAGAGAAAAACCTTGCCCATCTCTGCCCCTGTTGCAGCTGAAAAAAGCTAGAATCACTTGATAAGGATAGAGGCAGCTGCCTACATTTCTGGTTGTTCCTTGAGAACAAGGAAGTATCATGATGAGCACCTTCAGAATTCACTTCTCCATTGATGAGCACATCCTGTTTAATTGCTTCCCAAACTGAGCCAGCGTGATGACATATAAGTATCTATCAACCTTCTTCTATATATATAGCCTTCAAGAGTTAGGTTTGAGGAAGAAGGTTGATAGATACTTCTAAGCACCCTTCCAGCCAAGAACCCTGTCCATAACTCTCTTTTGAGTGAACCTGGCAGCCAAAATCTACCCCCCCCAATTCTAATCTTCATTCTCTTTTACAATCAGCCAATCAAACTCAGAAACAAAACAAAGCAAAGACAGCAAATGATCGTTGCAAGCCCCATGCTAACCTCCGGCCACTCAATTTGGCATCTTCCCCAACCTAGGCTCCTCATGCTGAAAATTTAACTCAGTGAGAACGAGGATGTGTTTGCGATTGGTTTTTCCAGCATGTGAGTAGCTTTTCCAGCTATTGTGGACCTCTAGCCCATAAACCAATTAACCTTCCATAGACTACTAGTATTAGCGTCTTTGTGGTCATATGAAGTGAGACTCCCCTCTGGTAAAGGGGGTCATCATGAGGTCCACGTCCAATACCTATTGTATCCACATGATTCTTCTTGCCACCTGCTTGCCCACTTCTTTTCAAGAGGACAGGTAACTCTCATCTTACAGGATGGTGAATCCGTGGTGGGTTTTAGTTTGAAATTTAACAGACCTGTTTAAGGCGCTGAATCCCCCTTATGTTCAGCCCCTTGGATATATTCCGTATTGTTCTGAGTGGACAAGCTTTCTGCCTTCTTGAAAAGAAGAGAGAACCTTTCTAAGGCAATAATGGGGAAGGTATGCCCCCCCAGATGTTGTTGACCTGCAAGTTCCTTCAGTCCTAACTAGTCTAGTTTAAAGAATCCATCATGGTGAACATCTGGAGGATGCCCGTTGCAACCCACTCATTCTGTAGGAGTCTGGAGTCCTTTGGACTCAAAGGGAGAAGAAAATAAATGGATGACGAAGAAAAGGATATTCACATGCTCAGGATATGGCTGCCCCTAAAACATCTTCCCCGAAATCTAGGACTGGGAACTTATTCTGCCTTTTGTCGTCAGTACCTCTGATTTCTCCAGGTTGCCCGGACCCTTGTAGTCTCCACTGAAGACAACGGGAGGGTTTTCTGTTTGCATGAAGCTGGAGCTTTCATTCATGTTTTTCCTGGGAATTAAAAAAAAGGATGGTAAAGACTTACACTGGGGAATTCTGCTCATATTTACAACCAACCTGTCCAGTTTGGTTACCAAACTACTCTTAAAATTTATTTATTTATTTATTTATTTATTTATTTATTTATTCATTTATTCATTCATTCATTCATTCATTCATTCATTCATTCATTCATTCATTCATTCCACCCAATTAGTGGCAGAGAAGGCCTGGCTTCGAGTGGCAGATTTTTGGGTCTCCCTCGGGGTCACTACCCACAACATCCCAGTGTATGAGGCATGGATGGGATGGGTAGACAGCTTGAGAGAGAGGTGCTTAGACAGGTAGCAAGGCCCTTAACCTTTAAGGGCTTTAAAGATTAACATAAGCACTTTGAACTTGGCCCTGAAGCCTATAGGTAGCCAGTGCAGACACCCCAGAAGAGGTGAAATATGATCGAATTGTGAAATATGACCAAGCCTAGCTGCTGTGTCCTGCACTTGCTGCAGGTTCCGAAATGCCATCAAAGGCAGCCCATTGTAGAAAGTGTTGCAGTAGTCTATTCCCGAGATTTCGAGTGCATGGACCAATGTTTTTAGGGACTTCCCATTGAGATAAGGGCGAAGGTGTGCCTCAGATGGTAAAAGGCAGACTTGCCATGGCTGAGATCTGATTTTCCACTGAGAGAGCTGGGTGCAGAAGCATACCCAGATTTTACACCTAATCCTTCAGGGGGAAAGTGGCCCCAATGGACACCTGATCAGTCAGGGGTTACCCAGCCTTTGTCTTGTCAGGATTCAACTTCAGCCTGTCAGCCCTCATCCAGTCCACCACAGTGGCCAGGTAGAACTCTAGAGTTTACCCAGCTTCTATGGCTGAGGAGGAGAGAGACAGCTGAGTGTCATCAGCCTACTGATGACAGCGAACTCCCAAACTCCAGATGACCTATCCCAGTGGTCTCATATAGATGTTGAACAGCATGAGGGAGAAGATCAACCCCTGTGGGGCACCCCATTGCAGTACCCACAGGGACAAAACAACCTCCCACTAGCTGGACATTCTGGGACTGACCCTGAAGGAAGGAGGGGAGCCAGCCTAAAGCTGAACTTCCAATCCCCAATCCCAACCACTAGCCCAAGAGGAGACGGTGGTCGACAGTATCAAAGGCCACTGAGAGATCCAGGAGAACCAACAGGGTCACCCTCCCCTGTCGGTCTGCTGAAAAAGTGAGAGATGCAGGAGAACCAACAGGGTCATCCTCCCCTGTCGGCCTGCCGAAAAAGATAATTATTTAATAAATATTTTTATTGCATTTCCCCCTACTTTTCTATCTGTTGTAACCAGAGTGATTCATCACAATATGTTCCATTCATTTCATCTTGTCTTATACTCTCTAACATAATATTAATCTAATCTATTCTACTTAAATTGGTGTAGATTTCATCCAGGTATAAAGAGGGTCCCATTTATTATTATCCAGTCTGTCATTTAGTGTATCTGTCAAAATATCCATTTCTGCTAGTTCCAAAATCTTCTCAATAAAGCCCTTCTTTGTCAGCACCTTTGTAGTCTTCCACTTGCTGGCATATAGAATTCTAGCTGTAGTTATCAGCTGTAAGGTCAAGCAAGTCTTTTTTTTTTTTAAGTGTAGCTGGTAATATATTCAATAAGAAAATTTCTGGTGTCAAAGCAATTTTAACCCCTAAATTTTTCTCTATCATTGATAGTGAAAAAGATAATTAAGCAGTGCAACCAAAGCTGTCTCAGTCCAATGGTGTAGCCTAAATCCTGACTGAAATGGATCAAAACTATTGGTGTCATCCAAGAATATTTGCGACTGACCAGCTACTTTTTTAAATGCAGAGGAACACCTCCTGATGCAGCATGATGAGATTCTGATTTGCAAGTATGATTGATTAGTAAATAGACAGTGATTATTTAACAGACTGATGAAATAACAACAAACCTTGATAAGCATGCATTCATATTCAAGATGTGATTTCCATTTAGTGCCTTCAGCTAAATTCTGGTCGTTTGCCACCTCCAGACAGCCATGTTACCGCTTACAAATCCTTAATGATTTTCTGCTTGCAAATATTTTCTTGAATAATTTCATCCCAAATTAGTCATGAGCAAATTCTTTCAGATTAGGGTTCCCCTCATGAAATGGTTATTAACTCAGTGGTTGCAATGGGACGGCAATAATTCCAAATGCAATTTGTTCCGTTTAATTGGATTGTGGGCTGCTGGGCTTTCAAATTCCAAGAGGAGCAAAGACAATTTGGTTCCTTTATCTGTTTGTTCGTTAAGCAAAAAAATATTCTCAATTTTGTATCTCCTTAGCTGAGCTGGCAATGAAACTGGGGGTATTTCACTTATGGGCTACAGTATTTACACGGTGGGTTCTCTGCATAGTCTTGGATTGGGGTTCAGTTTAGAGATCACAAGTAGCTACAACTGAGGCACCTTAGCCACTCAAGAGACAAGAGATGGGATGGGGACGATGCACCCCTTGGTCCGCATAGGGCCCCTCAGGAATATTTCTGTGGTCTCAGAGCACCTAGAGTCTCCCCCACCGGCAAAAATATTTTTTTTCTGGGCAGGAAACTGAACACTGCTTCTCTGGGAGGGAGATTTCTCCCATGAAATGCTCCTTTTGAGTCCTCCCACACCTTGTGTTGCCCTCAAAAGCATTTAGTAGAAAACAGAAAAGGACCTGTTTTGATATTGCTGGAAGGGCGAGCATGGCCCACGCCAGGGATCTACGGTGTATGTGGGAAACGGGGCCGGTGTCGCCTCTGAACACTGTGAAGTCGCTTACCCCAATATATGGACAGAGGTAGAGGAACAAAGCATATCAGTCTTGTCTCTAAGGATCTGAGGTAGGGAAATGAAATTCTACTTTTGAACACAAAGGCCAACAAAGAAAGAATTTACAGAGGCTGGTTTTTATAAATCTGAGCTAGATTTCTTACAGCTGAAAGGAGGGGAGGATGACAGTAGCAGGACTTGAGTCCATATCCCACCTTCAACTCTATACTTACTTTTTCCTGGTCTGGCTGACGTAACACACCACAGCTATGAGGACAGCAAAAGCTACCACTGCTCCGACAGGGCCCACCTTTGCCCACATCAGACTGTCTGGAAAAGAAAAAGATGCACATACCAGGAGGCAGTTAAGTTGCTGCAACCTCATCAGAGAGGAAAACACGAAAAGACTAGACGGGAAATCCCTGGTAACATCCAGTTGCCCCCATCCCTTCAGTCTATTTAGCTGGGAAGAGTTGGCCACCTGGCGTTTTCAAAAGACATCTCTACCTGCCTGCGTGGAGAGAGGTAAGTGCTTAAAAAAAGAAGATTCCGCCTCACCTGAGGCAGAGAGGGAGCCCGATATTTTGACAGCCTATTTCATGGAACTATGCCATTGGACAAGACTTCCACAGCCATTTAATGCAGTGGTTCTTAACCTTTGTTACTCAGACGCTTTTGAACTGCAACTCCCAGAAACCCCAGTCAGCACAGCAGGCTTCTGGGAGTTGCAGTCCAAAACTCCTGAGTAACCCAAGGTTAAGAACCACTGATTTAATGGACTCCTCTGTTGAGGACCTGTCTGTGGCAGAAGGTTCCAAGCACAACCTTCAGCATCTCAGATAGCCTTGGGCAAAAAAATCCTACAGTGGACCCTCGACTTACAGAGGGCTCGACTTACAGACTTTCTGAGTTACAGACTTCTCTGGCTGCAAAATTTAGGTTCGACTTGCAGCCGGAGAATCGACCTACAGACCAGAAAAAACCCCAAAATGGAACAAAAATGGCCGGTTACGGGATTAATTGGTTCTCAATGCATTGTAGGTCAATGGAGACTAGACCTACAGACTTTTTGACCTGCAGCCACTGTTCCAATACAGATTAATTCCGTAAGTAGAGGGTCCACTGTACCTGGAATTCCGGACCAGCTGATTCAGTCAATACTGGGCTTGATGGATCAATGGCCTGGCTCGGCAACTGATTAGTTCTGACATCTCTAACATATAAAGCAAAGCAAAGCGTGCTGCTTATATAACGCCCCCATAGCACTTCAAGCACTCTCTGGGCGGTTTACAAGTTAATTATGCAGGCTACACATTGCCCCCCCCCCAGCAAGCTGGGTACTCATTTTACCGACCTCGGAAGGATAGAAGGCTGAGTCAACTTTGAGCTGCTACCTGGGATTGAACCCCAGGTCGTGAGCACAGTTTGGGCTGCAGTAAAGTGGTTTAACCATTGCGCCACGATGCTCCTATATTGCTGGCAGGTAGTCATCTAGCAGTACAGCGGTTTAACCATTGCGCCACAATGCTCCTATATAAGAAATGTACTACTGCACCATTGCTGGCAGGTAGTCACCTAACCTCTGCTTCTCTTGCTGTAGGAGAATCCGCTACCTTCCAAGACATTCCGTTCTGTTTTCAAACAGCTTACACCATGAAGAATGTTTTCCTAATATTTTATCACCCTCCAGCCCCCACCTTGCAATTTGAAACCCAGTAGTTCAAATCTTAACTTCTGGAGTGTGTAGAACCCCCAATTTTCTCCATCGTCCTTCAGTGGTTCCCAACTTTGGATCCCCAGATGTTCTTGGACTACAATCCCGAGAAATCCTGGCCAGCACAGCTTCTGTGGGAGATCCCCAGATGTTCTTGGACTGCAATCCCAAGAAATCCTGGCCAGTACAGATGTTCTGGTCTAAGAACATCTGGGGACCTAAGTGTGGGAACCACTGCTATCGAGGAACACTGGGCGGAACAACCGCCTGTAGGGACTCTCACTGGAATGGTGGAACTGCAGTTGCTGATTCTTCGTGCCGTAGAGGTTCTTGGCTGAGCAGACAATGAAGAGCTGGGAGTCCACCTCCCTCTGAACCGTCAGGATGCTGGTGACAATGTATCCCGTTTTCTGCGAGTACACAAATTCCCGATCAGTCTCGTTAACGGTCACGTTGCGGGTGGGCAGCTCAAACGTGATCACAGCCTCTGGGTTGGATTTGGCTGCGCAGATGCATTTCACGGTGTCCCGAGCAGCAGTGCATTTGGAATCAGCAAGGATAAGAGGGGCAACTGCACAGAGAAAGAGAAAGACAGAGAGACAGAAGCTGAGATGCAACAATGGACCAGTCCAGCTTTGCTTGGCCATATTGTGTTCTCTTTGTGGAAGCCAGGAACGACCAATGTGTAGTCCTCCAGATGTGACTGGACGACAGCTCCCATCAGCCCTTGTGAAGTGGATCTCACACTTTGGCCTTGGCCTTCTTAGGTTTTGGACTTCAATTCTCCAATGCCCAGATGGGCTGGACAATTATGAAGAATAATGGAAGTTGAAGTTCAGCCACCAAAGACCTATCCCTTCCACACTTTGATTGAGATGGCCAACTGGAAGGCTTCAAAAAGCCAAGAAGCAAGGCGTGAAGGCAATAGGCCCTACGGAGTTGCTAGGAGAGGACAAGAGTCCTTTACTGTAATCATTCCCAACTATTGGCCAGTTAGATATTTTAGAAGCCACACTGGCTGGAACATCTGGGAATGGGAGATGGCACATTGTATGTAGTGAGAAGCACACACCTGCATTCGTATTGTCACTTCCCATGCTAGAGACCCCAAACACTAATGGTTCCCAAAGCCAGGCACTCACATTCAATGGTGAGATTGAAGGCTGTGCTGCTTTGGCCAAACTGATTCTCCGCTGTGCACCAATATTCCCCATCATCCTCATGAGTCACAGAGTCAAACTCCAATGCCACCTGGTTCTGGTAGACCCCCATGGCTACGGCCTTCTTATCCTTGAAGATAGTGATCGTGGGCTCCGGGTTGCTCTGCGAGCTGCAAAGGATGGTCACCGGCTCTCCCTCGATGGCCACCACAGATGTGTTCACGACGGGTTTCCAAGGAGCATCTGTTGGGGGGGACAAAACCAAGAGGGTCCTGCATCGTCTGCCAAACAGCAATGCTGAAAAGATGGTCTTAAATGTAAAGTACCATCGATATATCTCTGTTATCCTGTTTTGGAAAGAAGGAAAACCCATCTCTGGTAGAATCGGGACCTCAAATCCAGAACTCTTCCAGTGGTGTTCTTAAAAGGGAGTATCATAATGTATATAAAGGTAAAGGTTCCCCTTGACAATTTTTGTCCAGTCGTGTCCGACTCTAGGGGGCGGTGCTCATCCCCGTTTCCAAGCCGTAGAGCCAGTGTTTTGTCCGAAGACAATCTTCCATGGTCACGTGGCCAGTGTGACTTAGACACGGAACGCTGTTACCTTCCCACCGAAGTGGTCCCTATTGATCTACTTGCATTTGCATGCTTTCGAACCGCTAGGTTGGCGGGAGCTGGGACGAGCGACGGGTGCTCACTCCGTCGCGTGGATTTGATCTTACGACTGCTTGGTCTTCTGACCCTGCAGCACAGGCTTCTGCGGTTTAACCCGCAGCACCACCACGTGCCTGGATAATGTATATGGTATCCACAAAATCCCAAAGTGATAACATAAGGAACTGTCTTAATCCGGGTGAGACAATAAGCATCTCTCATCTACTGCAGTGAACCTCTGTTCTGCCAAGGGTAATATTTCCTTCAGGTGTAATCTGTCAAGAAGGGCACATGGCAAAGGGGAAGGGCAAAACTGGGTGCAGCCAGACCTGGGACTATCACCCCCTCTTGTTTCTGATACCATCTTCTCTCTCTCTCCCTTCATGCCCTCCTATCCTGGCAAAATCAGAGATAAGTGGAATCAAAATCCAAAGCAGATAGACTCAGAGCCAAAACAAATGGAATTCAATCCCTCAGGCCTCCATTCTAAACTTTTCATGGAGTGGAATCAATGCCTTGCCAAGTCCTTCAAGGGCAACTTCCCCCCAACTGCCTCTCCCATATACCTGAGCTCTTGGACTACAACTTCTATAATCCCCAACCATGATAATGAAGGTTGTAGTCCAAACACATGTGGAGGGTAGCAAGTTGGGGAAGGCTGACCTTGTCCATGATTGCCTCTACCCGGAGCTTCGAAACGCTCCAACTGTGAGCTACAACTCCCAGTCTCCTGCCCCCCACCCTACCCCAGTTGGAAGTTCAAAAAAGGTGATTTGCCCAAACTCACTGTGAACGTTCCTAAACAGATCAGAGGTGATGGGAGGAAAACCAAGACAGCAACTGCTCTCAATTCTATTAAGTATATCCAAGGAAGGCTGTATTGCCCCAATGATTCTTATGATGTTGAGATCACATAAAATCAGAGTTTCCCATTTGAATTGAGAGAATTTGGATGACAGAAGGTTCAAATAAGGGTGTTATGAAGATGGTGAGGATACTCTGAGTTTTAGTCTGAATTTTGAAAGAAAGACCCAAAGTGCCAAACCTATTTTAGGGTTAGGATTCAGAGTCTTGGACAGCAAACTAATACTCAGAGTGGATTAATTGCTTCATGAAATCAGAGCCAACAGCCTCTGCTGGGTCCAAGATTTAAACAGGTAAGGAGTCAAATACCTACAAATAAATGTCTCAAGCCCCTGGTTTGAGCTCTCATCACAACACAATAGTAAACGGACTCTTAGAACAGTTCTTCCCAATGTTGGGTCTCCAGATGTTCTTGGACTACAACTCCCAGGAATCCTGGCCAGCACAGCTAGTGGTGAAGGCTTTTGGGAGTTTTAGTCCAAGAACATCTGGGGACCCATGGTTGGGAACCATTGTCTTAGAATAAGAAATATCCCATAGGGTTCAGACAAAAGCTACTCACACAACACGGACAAAGCCAGAGAATGGTTGTCTCTCCCGTAGATGTTCTCAGCCACACAGGTGTAGATGCTGTCTTCTAGATGGGTGACATTGTCTAGATACAGGGTGAGGTTATTTGCCAAATCCTCGTGGAGAACCTCATCTTCTCGGAGCCATGAAATCAGGGCCATAGGGCTACTGTCCACATAGCAAATCAGGACAACCTGTGAACCATGGATGACCTCAACCGAGGAGTTCACCTGCACGATACGGGGTGGGACTGTGGAGGAGAGCCAAAGACATTGATTGCCCTTAGTTACTTCTTCTTCTAATTCTAATCTAGCAAACACAATTGCATTTCCATATGGTTGTTTTTAAGAAGCAGAAAACAAACTCAGAAGTACGAGGATGATAGGAGATGAGAGACAACTTAAGAATCTTGTGCGTCACTCCTGCACTTTTTTTCATCCCTTCAAGTCATACACCGAGCTGTCTGGATAGCCCATTGGTTTTAGCACCTGGCTGCCGAGCCAGAGGTTGGGAGTTCAATTCCCCCCTGGTGCCTCCTGCAAGTGGAGCCAGCCTGGGTGGCTTTGGGCAAGCTGCACAGTCCCAGGTCGCCCCCTAGAGGAAGGGAGAGGTAAACCACTTCTGTGTATTCTCTACTACCTACAAAACCTATTAAGTCAGAATTGACTTGATGGCACACTATGATGATGATGATGATGATGATGATGATGATGATGATGATGATTATGATTATCATCATTATTATCGTCATCGTCATCGTCATCGTCATCATCAAAGTCATCATCAAAGTCATCATCAAAGTCATACACCTAATTGTATGATTGTCTGCCGTAAGTGAGAGAATGACATTGATTGGCGGAAGGAGAAAATCAATGATGAAAGAGTTATTCCTTCCTTTTTCCTGGCTCCATTCACATTTCTTGCCCCTGACAGGTCCTTTTCTTTAAAAATGCCAAACACAAAACCTGTTAGAGACCTGGTACACATTACACACTGCAGTATGTCATGCCTGTTTTGGTCTACCATCCCATAGGTATGTCCTAGTTATAGGACGTTTCTAGGTAGATATGTGTACACTCTGGGGGCACATTTGAGGAGGGTTGCTTTCTAAGGTAGAAAAATATAATTTCCAAAAGACACTGGTGTATTTTAAAAAATGGTCAGGAAGGAAAATATAATGAAAGCCTCCCTTCTTGTATGGAACAGGAACCAACTAAATGAAACCACAGCCAAGGTTTCTGATTTTCTAGCCACACTGAACAGGAAGCAATTGTGGAGCTAGAAGAGGCAGGACGGAAGTTTCTAATTTAAGTTGCAAGGGACCTTTCTGTAGTCCCTATAAAGGGATATTGCCCATTAGAATGGGCACTACAAGATACCATAGCAGTTTATTAGACTCCGAATCACAGAATCATAGAAAAAAATGGAGTTCGAAGGGGCCTACAAGGCCATCAAGCCCAACCCCCCTGCTCAATGCAGGATGGGACAACTGTTTAATTTTGTTTCTACCTGATTGCAGAAAACCAATGCCCCAGCAGCACATAAGTTCTGGTGGCAGAAAAAAAAGAGTTTCTCCCCATAGGCGGAAGGTGGGGTTGTGCTATTCAATGACAAAGCAACATCAAGTCCTCCACAGTTTCCAGTCCACGGCCACTCAGCAACACATAACTCACATTTTACATCCAGGGTAGAGACGCTGTCAAACTCAAAAGTGGTGTTGGCATAGGAGACTTTGCAGCCCACCTCGCGCCCGTGGTTCTCACGGGACGGCAGGAACTTGAGCAGGGAGACGAGGGACCAGGTGCTGCTCTCTTCCTCCACTTGAGCATAGACGGAATGCTCCGCCAAAGCCCCGTGGTTCATCCATGTGACAATGGGCTTCATGTTGGGGCAATTGTCAGGCACGACACACCGCAACTCTGCCTCGGTTCCTTCCACTATTTCCGGAGGGCTCTCAATGGTGGGTTTGTCTTAAGGAGGTTGGAAAGAGACAGAGATGAGGCAAAAAAATTGAGAGCTTCACCACCCTCGTCTAATTAGTGCAAGGTTGGGAGCACCCAACTTTTCACTCTGACTCTTCCTTTCTTTTTTTGCAACCCGCTTTCTCTTATGTATATATCGGGTGAGCATAATTTGGAGAAGTGTGAATACTGCATTGCAAAATTTAAAGACGCATGAGTGCTGAAGGGCAATTGTGCTGAGATTGTGCCTCGCATAGCGATGATAATCCGTTCCGGATAAATCATCGCTATCCGGAATCATTGCTATACGGGGCAAAAAAACCCACAGGAACGCATTAAACCCTGTTTAATGCATTCCTATGGGGGGAAACTCACTGCTATGCGGAAATCCTCCATCTGGACACCATTTTCGCCGCCCCGGTAAGTGAGGAAACCGCGCGAAAATGCTGTGGGTGGCCATTTTCTTCATCCGGCGGCCATTTTGGAACTGCCAATCAGCTGTTTAAAAAACATCACAATGCGAAGATTGTTAAGCGAAACGCTTACCGATCACCGCAATGCGATGTTTGCCCATTCAGAACATCGCAATGTGACCGCTTTTGCGATCGCAAAATCCGCATTGCTATGCAGATTTGTTGTTAAACGGGGTGCTCGTTATGCGAGGCACCACTTGTATTTGATTCAGGAAACGGGGAGCACATGGGGACCTAAATCCCAATTAGGATTGCTTGTGGAGTGGTTTGGTGAGATTCCTTTCCCAGGGATCACACGAGATAGGAGGAAATGCACCCCAGGCTGACCCTATCTGTGCCCAAGCTGGGCCTTTTTGATCTAAACATACTGCTTCAACTTCTGGGGGACGGACTGCTCCTGTTAGAGCAATGAGATGCAGGCCTTTACAGCCGTCCTATTACACCCTAGGTTTGTATCAATTTGCAAACTGAACAATTTCCACCCAGCCCTTCCCCATGTTCACTGACATCCAGGAACTGAACTGGCACAACGCTCAGAAAAGGGACTTCTTTGGACCACAACTCCCGATGTCCATCACTCATCATCCAGACGCACTGAACAGAAAGCTACAATGAGGTGGAACCTTCCAATCAAAGTTGCGGGCTGCTGGTGGTGCTTTTATTACTTGAACTTAAAAAAAAAGAGAAAATACTGTGGAAGGATCTTGTCCATAGAAATGGAAAGTAGATGCCTGTTTTCTATTCGAGTGGCCATGTTAACTAGGGGATTATGGGAGTTGTGATCCAAAAAAAGAGGTCTGAAATGGCGCCACCTAGTGGCACTAGTCTGGTACTCACTGATGATCTCAAGATTACTGTGTTCTGGATAGGTGTATTGATTGTAGCCACCAAGGTCCCCTCGAAAGTAATATTTGCCTGCGAGTTCAGGGCTGAGGCGAGAGATCTGCAAGGTGCAATTGCGTAAGTTCAACTCCCCCAGCAGCCGGCTTCGCCCGATGTAGCTCTCATGGACAATGTTTGTGCGAGACTTGTAGACCACCGGGGGATAGTTCTTGGGGTAGGGGCTGTTGAAGTACCAGATGCCATGGACCGCAGAAGGGCGTAGCTCGTCTGGGTAGCTGAAGCGGCATGGAATGACGACACAGGTGCCCTCAAAGGCTCTGATGTGCTCAGGCATCCACGCACTCCATGGGCCTGCCAGGAGCCCTTGACAACAGCGGCAGAGAGAGGATGGTAGACTTTAGGAAGTAGGAAGAACAGATAAGCATTCACGCCACCTGTTCTGTATCCCCCTGGGTCTGTTCCTGTCCTTTGTCTCTCTCCCTCTCTCCCTCTCTCCCTCCCTCTCTCTCCCTCTCTCTCTCCCTCTCCCTCTCCCTCTCCCTCTCCC